CAAAGCAACTATCGAGAAATATTCCGATAATTTTGAAGGTCTCGGGATATTATAACTGACAATTTTTGCTGAAAATTTCAGATTAAAAAAAATAGCTTCTTGAGTAAGTAACGATTCAAAAAACGTTTTCTCGTATACACCCCGTCAAACTGAAGATAATATTATGTATGAAGTCACATTTTGAAGGGTTCTTCATGTTCTTTGAGTGCGCCAAAGGGCAATTTGATAGCTTGAAATTCCACAGAGATATTGGGGCCAATTTGTAAATGAAATTATTTTGGCAAAAACTATAAATTTTCAAAAAATCATAACCCTTCCAATTATCCATATTTTTTAATTGTTCTATTCTCAAAATTTTTGTCTAATCGTCATCTTTTCAGAAAATGATTTTTTTGAGATTACAGAAAAGATGAAAAATGTAGAGAAAATCTTTGAAAATCAGAAAAAAACTAAAAAATGCAACTAATACGAAAATTATTGTCAGTGTCGCACTTTTGTGATGAATAATTAAGAAGAAAAATTAGACTATTCAAAGTCTAAATGATAGAATCATTACAAAATCAGATTCAAAGGGCGCCCGTAAAGTTTCATTACAAATATTGAACTGAACTTGAACGAAGAGACGTTTAAATTATTCAGATATTTTTAATGCTGAAATCAACGCGTAAAATTACATATACTGAGGAAAAACTAGTGCAGAAGATCATTAAAATAATCGCATCTCCATCGATGGAGAGATTACGCTCTTCATATGCGTGTAGACAATCCACTTTTGGATATCACATGATTACTTCTCCACGCTTGAGAAATTGAGAAATTACAAACAGACGTCATCCAATTAATTAATCGATTGGTAATGAAGAAAAACTGCATTTCAGGGAGATTTCTAATAACTTCAACCATTGATTCATAAAAATATCAGCAGATTACTGGTTAATGACTGTATCAATTTCATTTGAGTTTGAAATAATTTGCCGATTGAGTTGTGAAAAAAGATTTAGAGTTGAATGAAAATAAAAAGAGGCATCCACATAACCTTCCACGCTAGACTGATTATCTTGGGCGGTATATTTCCGCGGCGTTAATTGGTCCGGAGAAATCTCCCGAGTCTTTTCTTTCCGGAAGTCGGTAGATACTGCAACAGAGTTTGTGAGTACACAATTTGCGGAACATGAGCTGTTGCAGAATATTTACTCTGTCGTATTTTTACAATAGAAAAATTAGTGTCTGAAATTAAGTTCTTTTTGTCCCTTTTGCTTTTTTAAGACGTTTTTATTGAAAAATTCAGTTATTTTCAGTGTCTCAAATTGAGTTTTGTTTCAAACTTCCGATCAATGGTCGACAATGTTGCATGACAAGAGCCAATTATTATTTCATCTCTAGTATATTACGTAAATGTCTCTCTATATTATAAAAATCCAAATCGACATCTGGCGATAAAAATTTGGTATCCGAAATTAAGACTCCGCAATTAAGGGTCACAAGAGTCAGAATAAGGGTTATGAGGGTGAGTATAAACGTCGCGGGTGTAACTAAGGGTCATAAGGGTTTGAATAAGGGCCCTCGTGACCCTTTAATTATGAATAATAAAAAATGAATAAATAAAAAATAAAAATTGTGACCTTTATTTATTTTTTAATAATAAAAAATAAATAAAGGGTACAAGAATAAAGGTTACAAGGGTCTAAATAAGGGTTATGAGGGCCTGAATAAGGGCCACAAGGGTCAGAATAAGGGTCACGAGGGTCACAATAAAGATCGCAAGGGTCAGATTAAGGGTTATGGAAGTGAGATTAAGGGTCGTAAGATTAAGAGCTACGAAGGTCAGATTAAGGGCTCAAATAAGGGTAACAAGGGTTAGATTAAGGGTCTAAATAAGTGTCAGAAGGATCAGATTAAAGGTCACAAGGGTCAGAGTAAGGGTTCAAATAATGGATATGAGGGTAAAAAACTAAGGGTCACCGGGGTGAAAATGAAAGTCACGAGGGTCCGATTAAGGGTCCAAAGAAGGGTGACGAGGGTAAGATTAAGGGCCACAAAGGTCAGAGTAAGAATCGCGGGGGTCATAAGAGGGGAGGCGAGCAGAGGGCGTAGCCCTCGAGTTTTTTACTATTAATAAATCTTTATTTGATTCAAATAAATTCTTCATTTAAGTATTACCGAGTAGTTTTTTTTTCAAATTGAATAGAAATTTATATTCGATGTTCTGTTTATATTAAGTAAAAATGTTTTTAGTATTAATAAATGTTTATTTAGCAATAAACAAAACTCGAAAAAGTCATCACGAATTTAGCCGTTTCGACACATTTTTACGTCTACTGTGCTAAATCAAGACGTCTTGAAGACTAGTTTTTACAGTGCATGTAAAAAGATGATGATTTCACGTTATTCATATGCATTGAACATTAATTCATACTGACAAATAGACGATTCATTGGGTGAATGGGGTTGTCTTCCTTCGCGAATGATTTCTAAATACGCGAATAGCTGAGTTTATTCCGAACAAATTACACATGAACAAACATCTCTAACATGAAAGCTTGTAATCATTCAATTAAGAATGCGGCTGCTATGTTTTCCGTCGTGTTAGCTAGAATTACCGGATGTTGTTACGAATTCTTCATTAAATACCAAGATTTACCGCTGCTATTATTTTAATACGTCGGCTCATTCTCGCATTGCTAACGCGGTGCTACATTTATTACCTGTTGCAATAGACCATCTGCCCTGTTCACTTCTCATTGTTGCGAATTATATGTTTTTTTTTTTTTCAATTTTACGATTTTTCGTTCATGCAAAAGCGTCGGGTGCAGGTGCGACTAGTAGAAAATAGAAATATCCGGGCGTTTATTAGGAATTATTATAATGAACTTTACACCACATACGCACTAATGTACCAAGAACTTGTCGGTGCTTTCGCTACGAGTTTTAGTTTTAATTAATGAGCCAAAGTCTCACGAAGTCTAAGAACTTCCTTGAGAACTGAGAGCAACGGGGAAAATCAAATGGGTGCATTCGCCTCTTCTCCATTTCGAGACTGATGTTTATTGAATTTTATGGTTTATATGATGAGGTTAGGGAGAGTATTGAGCGTTCTATATTACCTCCACAGTTCATGAATTGCGATTTTATTGAAAACAATACGGAAATGAATTTCATGATTACGTTCATCTACTTTGTGAGTGAGATTGCAGTTATGGTGCTATTGGAATATTTACGTGTGCACTAATAAAAAAATTTCACTTGAAATTCTAGTAAAAAGCGAATTCCAAATAGGTGTGAGGATGTTGGATTTATTTTAATTTCCTCTCATTTTAATTGATTTGATTTTTTAGCCAATATAAATGAATTGAAATGCTCAATTTAAATTTTTAATTTGATTTCTTAAGGCTTTCCGAGGAATCTTACAGTTTGGGGCAGACCATACTATAGATTCAACCAGTTTCAATCATCAAATTTGTCAATTAAATGGGGCGTGACAAAAATTGGAAAAAAATGATGAATATTCAACGTTATTCAAATTACATTTTGCACTGAATTATCTTTTCATTTAAACTTTCGGAAATTTGATTTTTTTAGGCATTCAAGCGAGTTCTGGTAAAATTCTGATTATGAACAACAAATGTTTTTTATGCTCGTAATTATACCTCATACTGTTCTACGTAAATGAATGGAAAAATTAATGGTTGAATCTCACGGCAAACGGCAAAGTGTTGCAGTCATTTGTAAATAATAAAAATGTCAATTTTTCAAAGGAGGTAAATCATTCTATCAATTTTTTTTCTATATAATGCGAATTCTGCAACATACCCAAGAATATTGGGCGGCGCGAGCGAAGCGAGCGGAAGGGGGGAGGGGGGAGCCGCCTAGTTGAAATAATTTTTTTCAACATCAATATTACACATATTAGCCAGCATTGCCGCAACGTTAAAAGTTTTTACCTTTCCCTGAATCTTGGTTTCCAAATGAATTTTTTCAACAACAAATAATATTTTAAATCACAATTGGATTCATTTAAACAATTCAAATTTCATTTAAATAATTTTTTCAGTTATCGTAAAAAAACTGATGAATTCCTGAGGTCAAAATTAGTTATCCTGACGCAAAAAATAGAAAAGTTTGGATTTAACGAGTATAATGCTTTCATTCGGAAGCAACAATGTGAACTAATACTAGAAATCTCATAAAAAATTACCAAAGAATTTCTACGACGAAATCAGAATGCTCAACGTGCATGTAATGCCCCGCTCGCTTCAGCCGTTTTTATTATTTTTCAATTGCAGGCAGACATTACCGTTTGTAATGATTATGACATAATGGGCACAATAAAAACGAAAGGGAAGAGAAATGCGTTATAAACGTGATTTTTACGGGGTTTAATAGCATTGTGTGATTAAAATGTATCCGAGAATTGCTAGAAAGTCATGCTAAGGGTCTAGGGTAATCCCGCACAGAGGGAGAATTAACGAACGTACAAAAGGGGAATCCGAGGCACATGAAAATGCGAAAGTGGAGAGTATGCGCAACTTTCGAATGAGAAACGAGAATGATTGCGTTTTATTCGAGAATGGCATGACGCGAAATATACCAGACAGGTGGCCCGATTGGTCGAGTCATTCATTTCGGTGGGGTAAAAAAAAGAGAGGACTGTCACCTCTGCCTCAAGCTCAACCATGTAATGAAACATTCAGTTGTTTTCTTTTTCCTCTGATCTTCCTGTGGTACCCTGTGACGATGGCATTCGCATGGGGAGACAAGTGAGCCCCCCCGGGGCGTTGGCCCTATGTGGGTCAGTCATGTATTAATACGAAAGTCGCGGCATACTCTTCCTCCTCGGTGTTATTAACGCTGCGGATCTGGGAAAGACTTTCCTGGCCCCTGGGGACTTGCATTGATGAATATACGTTGGCCGAATTTTTAACCATTTTTTTGCGTCAGAGAAGGCTTTCGGAGAATTTAAGAAATTTGATTTTGATGGCTTGTAATTTTTTTTGTTTCAGAGTAGCTGATGGGGTTCATCGGTGTCGGTGAGTTGAAATAGTATTCTTGGTGGATTTACTTATTTTGGATGTGTGGGGTTAGTGAAAAATTGAAATTTCACATTTCAGTGAAAATTCAATGAAATTGCAAATTTAAAACAGGTCACATTTATTTGATATTTCTATAGAAGAATATTAATGATTTATTGAACTGAAATTGGGAGGTTCCTTGGAATTTCAGTGAAATTATTATGAAATCAATTTTTAAAACGGTGGATTATAAAAATTTTATTCTCTATTTGGAATAGCTCTTCTTAAGGCTATCCAAGTAGTTCGTTGAATATTCCAGAAAATATTTTATTAAATTGTACACTTCGTATCCAAATTTGACTAGCGCCAAATGTTGATGCCCTTTATCCTGTCAAATTCAATATTCCTTTTTTTAATTAGTTGTTTATAATCATTCTCATTGCAAAAAGCATACGACCGATGAGAATCGTATGTCCCAAATTATCATCTGTTACATTCTCGAATTACAATTCAATTCCTTCTAGAACACAGTTTAAAGTGTGACTTTCTGGAATTCAATGTTTGGAGATACTCTGGTAAAAGTGCGTGCCCACACTGTTATCAATTTCTAGTTAGTTCACACGGTAATTCAATTAATCTGTTGTTCATCTCATCAATATAATTCCGTCCTTAGGATATTGTCATCTCGTGTTTTCAGCACCAAATTGAAAATTAAAACTTCATTTGGAATATTCAGTCACAGAACGTTGATTCTGTATTTATTGACCCCCTGATGCCAATGAAACCCTCGGAGGTGACAGAAATGGGGAAAAAAATTTTTTCATTTTCACGTGGGTCAAGGGTGAAAGTCGATTTTCGCCAAAATTGAATTTTTTCGCCAAGTGAAAGTTGATTCTGTATTTTCTAACAATTCTGATGCCAATGAAACCCCCGAAGGCGCGACAAAAGTCGAAATAAAATTTTTTTTTTCACCCCGAGCCAAAGAGTCAGATTTTCTGTTTTTCCAGAGGGAAAGTCGACTTTCGCCAAAATCGAATTTTTTAGCTGGGTGAGCGTTGATTCCAACTATTTGAGCGACGGGCTATTCAGAACTCTCAAAAGTATGTGAAAAAAGTGAAAACTGAAAAAGTTTTTTTTTTCCAAATTTTCAAAGGGTCAGATTTTCGGTTTTTCCCGGGGAAGGTCGACTTTCGCCAAAATCGAATTTTTTAGCCGGGTGAACAGATCCGATCAATTAGCCCCTCATGTATAGATATTCCAAATTTTTATTTTTTTCCTCATTGAAGTAGTTTTGAAGAAAATTGCGAGCTAATAAAAAACATTTGCTAGTTAGTACTTTTTTTAAAATAAATTTTTGAAAAATCACCTCTGAAAAAAAGGGGGTTATCCCCTCTATTTCATTATTTCCAAAAAATTTTATCACCAATCGATAGAAAATTGTTTGAAGATTTTTGCGAGTCAAGAAAAAATCGTCAATGCAATCCTATTATTGTGTAAATTAACAATTCCAATTTCAACTGAAAACCAGAGTTGATGACCAGAGTTTGTAACAGAGATGTCAGACAAGATATGAATGTTTTTTTTGGCTCAAATGAAAGAGTGGGTCGAGAAATGGCGTGCAGAAGTCTTTAAAGATGACAAATCTCTCTAAAGATGATGTCTGTTTTCAATTGAAAAGCGCAATTGTGACAACATTTTCCAGTGGGTTCTAGGAGTCTCCCCTGGTTCAACACCATCTTTAGAGGTCCTAGCACGCCATTTCTCGACCCGCTCTTTCGTTTGAGCTCAAAAAAACATTCATATCTTGTCTGACATCTTTGCTATAAACTCGGGTCTTCAACTCGGGCTTTCAATTAAC